TTCCTTCCATGCGCTGCGCATTCACTCAATTTAGTGGGAAAGTCTGCTGCAGAATGTTGTAATTTGGCTGTCAATTTCTTCATGTTTGTGGAAGAATTGTATACTTTTTTCAGTGCATCTACCCATAGATGGGAAGTAGTGAGGAACTGTTTAGGCAAGAATCAGGTACCAAAAAAATTGTCTGTTACCAGATGGTCGGCAAGAGCGGATGCCGTCAAAGCTTTGTATAACGTTTATGTGGAATTCAAAAATGCCCTAGATATTATTATTGATGATACACTGCAGAAGCCTGTTACAAAAGCAGAAGCAAGAGGTATTAAGAAAAAAATGGAGCAGCTAGAAACAGGCATCATGCTCAGTTTTTGGCAAGATATTCTCACAGAGTTTGACAAGGTCAATAAATCACTTCAAAGTTCTACCATGAATGTATTGTTGGCCGTTAGTCTGTATGACTCGTTATTAAAATATATTGGCTTCGTCCGTAACAATTATGATTCATATGAGCAAAATGGAAAAAGAATCACCAAAAATGATGTATACATTTACGATACAAAACTAGTTAAAAGTAGGAAGACTGCTGCTGACGAGAGTAGATGTAACGAGACCAAATTCACTGGAAGAAGTAATCTTCTGATCAATACATTTTATGTTATCATTGATAATATCATCACTGAACTCATGAAACGCAGGAGTGCATATTCAGTTATTGAGAATCAGTTTGGCTTCCTTGAAAATATTTTGAAATTGTCAGACAGTGATTTGATAAACAGTGCAAGAAATTTGCAAGAAACTTATAATAGTGACCTAAGCGAGGATTTTCCGAACGAATGTATAAGGTTTAAAAGTTTTATGGAAGACATCAATTTTGATGGACACCCAACAGTTATTCAGTCGTGTTCGTTTACTGAGGTTCATAAGAGAACAAAAAATCACATCAACTTTTCCAAACATTGATGTGGCTTTGAGAACTTTTTTATGTATTCCTGCAACAAACTGTTCAACCGAAAAAAGGGTGAAAAATCATTTGAGGAGCTCATTAGAAGATTCCAAAAATAGCAATCTCTGTCTGTTCTCAATTGAGTCAGAGATTTTAGATAAAATCGAATTTTCACAAATAATTGTGGAGTTTGCTGCGAGTAAGTCGAGAAAAATGCCATTTTGAATTCAATGAACACCTATCGACCTATCCAGTGCTACTAACACTAACCAAAGAATTTATTTGATTTCCTTAATTTTTTTCTGTTTTGCATGTACCTGTATTCACCAATGAATCTGTTTTGTTCATTTTCGTTCATTTTCACTCTAGTCTATCATTTTATGTTGTTTTTTATTGTTTTGTTATTCTTTCAGAATATGTTTCATGTTTCTGTTTTAATGGAGGAGTGTGATGCTAGTATAAATAAAAAAAAAATATTTTGAGGTCAATTATCAACTAGCCAAAATGCTACTAACCAAAGAATTTGTTAATTTATTTTGTTATTTTTATTCTGTTCTGTATGTACCTGTTTATATGTTATTTATATGTTATTATATGTTTTTGATACTCATTCTGTATTATATTAGGTATGAACATATTTATTCTGCGTTTCTATTTATAAGTATTAATAAGATATACCTACCATTGCATTTGCCATTTGCTTGTATTAACCTAGTAATCTTTCATGCCTTTTTTTATCCAAACTGACAGATTTTCGAACAAGGATTGAACACAACTATTTTATGGGACAAAAATTTCACTAGTTACAGGCGCCGATTACTTTTTAGCCTCAGGCGCCTGTAACCCTTAAAACGCCCCTGCAAGTATTTGGAAATTTAAAAAACTTATCAAAAATACATCATTAGAAATAGAACCATATAGTGTTAATGAATATTTGAACTATCTTTTCTAAGATGTTACATATGTATTTTTATATAAAGTATATCCAATATCAATTGCAGAATATCTCGCACTGTGCGGCGTCGGCATGTTTGAAGTTTCCTTTGGAGTAACTGCAGGTGCGTCAGGAGAATCTGCAATTGTTTTTGGATAAACTATACCTATCTTAGTTTGATGTTTTTTTTGTTCTGACGTCATTTCATTTCATGTATCAACATAATTTGAAATAAATAAAATGTATTATTATTATTATTGTTCTTGTTATCTTGTTCAAGGAATATATGGTTAACGGATGGATCTCCTTTTAGGGGACACTATGTATAACCCAGATAATGGCTAAAAAATCATAATAATGTCATTTTCATAATGAAAAAATGTGTTGCTATGGATTATTTTGTCAAAAAACACGATGGAAGATGATATTTTATGTCCACTGATTTTGTAACATCCATAATAGCTAAAAAATCAGAAATCTGTCATTGTGAAAAAGAAACAATGTCTTGCTATATTTTTTTGTCAAAAATCATATAATGTAGATAAAAGAAGAGAATCATCATGCCTAATGATTTTGTTGCATCCATTTCACCCATGCTTCACCCCAATAATGGCTAAAAATCAAAATTCTGTCATTTTCATAAAGAAAAAATGTGTTGCTATGGATTTTTTTTGTCAAAACACAGGAAAAGTGAACTCACCATGTCCACTGATTTTGTGGCATCCATTGCACCCCTATTTCACCCAGATAATAGCTAAATATCAGAAATCTTTCATTGTGAAACAAATATTTTAGCTATTATCAGAGTCAAAAAATTGTATTTACAGTATACCTTGTGTTTGTGGAAAGTTTTATACAGGTGAAACCAAGAGACCTCTTTCAGTAAGGACTAAGGAACATAAGTACAATATAAAGAAAAGAATCATGGATAAATCAAAACTAGCTGAAAATATCCTTATTGAAGACGGACAACATATGGCAGAGTGGAATAATATTAAAATCATTGGAAAAGAAGATAACAACCAGAAGAGAAAAATCAAGGAATCTGCTTGCATTCTTCTGAAGGGAGACAATGGCATTGCCTCGGGCATTGCTTCTTGTTCAGTTGATATAGACAGTACATGGTATTCACTACTAAAATCTGAACATGAAAATGGTAAATTCAAGATCAATTAATGAAAACATCCTGTAACTCAATTGATTGCCAACGTCACCAATTGTCAATGAAAACTGAAAAGCTTCAAGACAGATACAACTTTGCTATTAAAATAATCATTTCTTATGCTGAAAACAAGAGCAGATTCGGTCCCAAAAGGTCCAAAGATTAGTGAAAATTTGATATTTTTTCAATATACCTTTATTTCTCTTCTTCAAACTCTTTTCTACAAATTGTCACTGACAAGCTAGTGAATTTTTCTTTTAGGCTCTCTGATAGGAAAATTATTTAAAGGCAGTGACATTTTGGGGCAAATCATCTGATTTGTCCTTATTACATGAATATTGAAATAATATTCATATTTTTATTTTATAGAAACGAGAGAAAATCCTTTCAAAAACCCTTTTCAATGCTTTAAGTGGGAATTCGAATTTTATTTATAAGAGGGGTGGAATGGATGCTACAAAATCAGACAACTATCTGATCATACTCAGGAAGCTAATTTACATCTGTTTCAAGAGAAAAATCTGTCAAACTCTTTTCAAAGCTCCATGTTGGGATTTGAACTATATGGATAAGTGTGAGAGTGGTGTAATGGATGCTACAAAATCAGGCAACTATCTGAACCTATTCAGAGATCTATTTTTCATCAGTTTCAAGAAAAAAATCTTTCAAAAATTCTTTCCAAAGCTTCAAGTTAGAATTTGAGTTATATTGATAAGATGGTGAAAGAGCCGTGAAATGGATGCTACAAAATTAGATGAATGTCTGATCATGTTCAGAACACTATTTGACATCGATATAGAAAAAAAAATTATAATATCAATGCCTGACCTCTTGATAAGAGGCTGAAAGTGGTTTGGAATGGATGCTACAAAATCAGACAACTATCTGATCTTATTCAGAAAGCTATATTACATCTGTTTCAAGAAAAAATCTGCAAAAACTTATTTTTTTAACTCTAAGGCGAAATTTGAATCAAACTGATAAGAGGGGTGGAATGGATGCTACAAAATCAGACAACTGATCCTGATCAGGAAGCTATTTGACATCTGTTTCAATAAAAAAATATTGCAAAAATTAATTTCTGACCTCTAAGTTGGAATTTGAATTATATTGGTAAGAGGGTGAGAAAGGGGTGGAATGGATGCTACACAATCAGACAACTATCTGATCATGTTCAGTAAGCAATTTGACATGTTCCAATGAAAACATATTTCAAATATCAATTCCTCACTTTCAAGTTGGAATTTGAAATGATGAGAGGGTGAAAGAGGGGTGGAATGCATGCTATGAATTCACACATCTATCTGATATTGTTAAGGGATGTGTTTACTATCATTATAGCAGATTAAATTATGAAATTCATATTTTCATTTCTAATTCAATTAGCAAGAGTTTCATCAACATCATCTCTCTGAGGCCTGCCCATGTTGATCTCATTTGTTGCTGGATGATACTGCTTTCACACTGGTATTTTATTAATGGATGTCTACATATGATTCACTCCAAGTTAACTATGAAAATTTCAGCTGGTAAAGGGCTTAGTGGATTTTTCATAATCAATCATTTTGAGGACATTTTGATGTGGACCAATATTCATTTGGCAGTATTTCAACATCAAGGATCTCATTTAATGCTGAATAATATTGTGTTTCTCTGTTCACACCAGTTCTGCCAAATGCTTCATGCAAGTGGCCCTTATAGTTATTTACTAATTATTCAAATGCCCCATGCCATATCTAATGAATAACAAGCATACCAGCCCCTAGACTGTGGCCCATATGATAAATCGTCTGTTTGGGGTACTAGTCACTTTATTTTATTAAATAATGACCAGTAGAAACTAATGAGGTCAATGAATACATGCTTCCAGTTTGGTATGTGATACTAACAAATTCTATTTCAGATCATATTATTAGACAGTGAATATGTTGTCAAGTAGCTAGGACTAAAATAAAATAGCTACTCACTTCAGCAGTCAAGTACTCCAAAATTGCTGCAGAATAAACAGCAGCAGTTGCACCTACTCTTCCATGACTTGTGGTCCTGTTTTTTAGATGTCTGTGTATCCTTCCAACTGGAAACTGAGATAATAAAATTGTATTTGAAGAGGAATCATATTTTACAATGAATTTTAAGAAAATCATTGCACACACCCAACCAGGGCCTATTTTACTGTATTCTGTTAATTTTGTATTCATTGAGCAAGAAAATGAGAAGAACAAATTATATTTTGAAGTAGAATTACACCTTTTACAAATACAATGAACAAGAAAATCATTGCTCATACCTAACCCAACATACTGTACTGTACTTTGTAAATCTTGTATTGATTGTGCAAAGAGATTAATTAATGATTGATACATAAGAAAGACACATACCTGTAATCCAGCACGCGCTGAACGAGAAACAGCCTTAGCTTTTGCTTTTCCGCTATCCTTACCAGCTTTACCGCCCGCCTGAAACGTGATTGATAATTATCACAGTGAAACTGTGAACACAACCAATAAGTACAAATAGTTGTACAATATCATGAAATTAAACGCCGCGAAATCGAATCACAATAAAATTATAGATTATTCTGAGATAAACCAACAAACTCACCATTGTTTCCTCTTCAATTTCAGATAACGCCAAACAAAATGCTAACAAACTCACAAAGTCACAAACATAGACACAGAACACAGAAAAGCGTCTCATAAACGTAAACGCGCCAAATGTTTTAGAGCAGCCAATGAGAGTGACAGAAATAGGCACGTGACGATCCACGTCCAATTAGAAGAAGGTATCAAAGCGGGAACAGGAGTTATTGATCATCATGTACAGTCTTCAGTTTTTTTATGTTTTGCAACGTTGTCACACTCAGGAACATTGATGCCATGAGTGACTAAATCTCTAAGCAGTAGTTTCCTTAGCAGCAGCCATTTCAGCTACTGTCTAGTGTGCCCAGTACTGTCAGTAAATTTACTGACTGCTGAAAATTTTTGTTCCGAAATATGAAATCAAAAATACAGTAAATACTGTCTGTATGTTAATCGAGGAGGTGGTACATTCATTATTACAAAAATACAGTGCTGTAATTCGAAACACGTTTCCATGGTTTTCATCAGTTGTCAGCAGACTCTAGTCAGCAGCAGTTGATCAGCTGGTGGAATTTGAATATCATTCTCTACGTCAATCATTTATATACCAGTCATTTTCTGATATTGAATATGGATATTAATAATTAAATATCGATAAGACCAGACTTCATGTTTGAAAAACTACGGAAATAAATGCGACATTGGGTGCGTTTTTCATTCCAACATGTGTATTTCCGCAAATCGGACATTATTCTTCCCTTGTCCGAGACGGAAATCCATCCTGATTATAGGTTTCGTGTGAGAGACGGAAAGATAACGTCGAGAATGGCAAAGGTTAAAGAAACCTCAAGCAAGAGGTGACTTCAACTTATAGTTACAAACCTCATCAAAACAAAATCAGAGAGTTCCTCAATACCACCTGGAGGGCCATGCATGGTAGATAGTAGAGTCACTAGATCCATCTAGATAACATTCTATGGATGATGACTTTTAGGGAAGTTTAACGTCGTGTACTGAGGAGTCCTCAAGGAATCCTCAGCTGAGGAAGACTTGAGGAGTTCTTGAGGAAACGACTATAGCTAACTTGCTTAGATCTTGATTTATTATCGAAGTGAGAACAATTAATATTAACAGATACTGCTTCATGATCAGTTTTTATTGGATCACAAGTAAGGACCCCACTATCACCTACACAGTCGCTGTCACTTATCAGGATGGGTAGGTTCCGTAATGAGCTGCGTGAAGTTGAAGGTTTCACACAGGTCCAGGATGAATTTTGCATCTGCCAGTTCAGAATTAATGTTGATAAAGTCATACATTTGGGTAATTTCTGGGAAGACAACATGGGGAAACTCAATACTAGAAAAATGTATACTTGGTGGTTTGTACAATATACTCATACAACAGCTCGTAGTTTGCCTTCACTTCAAGCCATAGTTGTTATTAGATTCATGCTCTTGCGTTCATAATAACTGATAATAACCAATAATACCATGGGTTGCGTGCAAGAACTGCTAGATGACCGACCCTGGAGGTGATACATGAAACACAACCTCACTTCTTCAATTTTTGGCATACGAATCGTGTTTTTTTGCTGTTCATTGAATCGCGCATACCATCATATTGTACGTAGGCCTGGAAGGGACACATAAAATGAAAAAAATAAAAACTCTTCAAAGTTCTGAGTTATAACTCGGAATTTTAAAATTCTAATAGAAATACTTGTGACATTTTTGAAATAATGCAAGAAGAATGGATTCATGCAGGACTGGTCTGACATGCTGACGAAATATGATCGTGTGTACTGTAGACATTTATTTGCATCTCTTTAGGCTGTATGACTCTTGTTGAATTTTATGACAAATATGTAACAAATATGTTAACAAAAATGATGACAAATATATTTTGTATATGTGTCATACAGTGAAAAAGGTGTTGATTTTGCGCTGATTTGCAAACATTCTTGTAAAAGTATAGGACTGGTTCTAAATATTTTGATATTATAAATATTCATACTGTATGGCACATAAAAAATATTCTTGTTTTAATTTTTGCTGTCTTATTTGTCATCAAATTCAACAGGTGTCATGAAGCCTTTAGCAGTATTAGCTTCTATTGCAGGAGTGGCAGAAGGAATTTTGATAAGAAATTACATTTCATGATGAAAACTATGTGAGATTACATTTTTTATGCATTTTTTAACAGCACAATGAGAAGGCATGCTATGCTTGAATTGATGAATAGCGCAAAAAACAAGATTCGTATGCTGAAATATTGTGAAAAACTATTTCAATCCTTTGATTCCTCTGTAAAAAAATTGAAAAAGTGAGGTTGTGTTTCAATGTTTCACAGAAAAGCGAGGTCATGTTTCGAAATTTCACCTCCGGGGTCGGTCATCGTGCACGCGACCTCTTGACAAAAATGACAACTGATAAATTGACTTATTTTATGCAGAAGCAGAACACGTGAATCCAATATATTGAGTTACGTATATGAATCTACCGAATGGGTTCAAAAGGTACATACGCTTAAGGTGAGTTATTCCTGATGCAGCTTTTTTGCTATTCGCGTCACGCGTCACGCACTATGATTGGTGACGCGTAAATGGAAATTGCTGCACTGTAATTCTATTATTTACTTCAGTTCCCAATGAAATTACCTATCCTTGTCGATATGATCGAAGTTTGCATTGAAAAATCATGAGAATATCTGAGAATACTGTAAATATAGGATAATACTTGGAATGTATAATACAGAGCTGCATCAGATGAGTTTTTCATAAAAAATGCAATGATTTATATTCATCGTGAGATCACTTTCTGAAATGAGGGTTTGATTAAGTTGCATTCAAAATTTCTTCATTTTTATGCAAAATCTTGTGATGAAAGAATTTATATTGCTTTAATGAATATTGAGGTTTCTGAAACATAACTTCAACGCAACACGAAGCAGCAACGCCAAAAAGTTGAAATATTTCAACTTCACCGCGCCAAATATTTTTCAAATTCAGCGTCACCAATCAGAAGGATGCTTGACGCGCGATGCGTAAAGCAACAACGCTGCATTATTGGGAACTCACCTTCAGGATTCCTTCACTTATGCTACAAAAATGACGCCATATCTTCAGAGATGTCACTTTGTGCTAGATAGAAAATAAAACATTCTGAGCATTTTTCATGAGATGTAGCATAGTAGATGCACAGATTAACAAACCTTATGGTAGATGTATTAACACCGTAACATCACAGATTAACAAACCTTACAGATAGGAAAGTCAGACAAGGCGCACAAAATTAGAGAGAGATGACGAAAGCGCAAAGTTTAAAGGGACAGTCTTCCTAGTGCGCAAGCACTCGGGAATTTCGACATCTTTTCGACATTCGACAGCACCACAGATTAACAAATTGTTAATCTGTGGTAACATGACGTTCCAATTGTAACATAAATGATGGAATTATAATTATAATACACATAACAACACTCTGTTGGACGTTATTCTATTTACGTCAATGTCAATTTATCATAATGGCACAGAGCATTGCATAAAATTCATCGTGAATATGATGAATATGATGAACTTCTTATGGAAATTTTATAAATATGAAAATATTTTTATAGTCAGAATAAAAAAAAAGTGGAAAAAATGGCTAATTAGCTAGATGGTATTTTTAGTAGCTGGTTGAACTCAAGAATGACTAGAACTAGAGGGTCCCTTGATGGAAATTGACGTTAAAGTCATCTTAACAGGGTACGGACAGATCCTCGTCTCCTCTCAAAAGTGTTTGTGAAACAGTTATATAGTTCCATTCTCCTTCAATTCTGGGGATAGACACTAGATTTTTGACATTCGTTGTTTTTTAGGTTATTTTGAGGTCACTGGCGTATCATACGTAATTTCCATATGGAATTCCTGATCCAACTATACCAAGATATAGATGAACAATCCTCTAATTCTATACCAGGGTTGACTGAATGAATTCTGATTTCAAGATGAGCATTAGTTCATCTATGAGCTGAATGAGCAGAGCCTTATGATTGAAAAATGGTGGAAACCTCGATGTAGGTATCTGAACTACTGTACTCATGTCATGTGTGCTAAATATATTTTCCGAAATCCAACTCGGAGTTACTAATATCACACTATGTATAAAACTTCTTCTAGGGCGAAAAGAAGGCTGATTTTTCCGTTTCCCTTGAATAAAAAGGCAATTTTCGAATAATTCATTGTTGAAAGTAACAAAGAAGTAGGTATATACGCAGTATAACTTATAGGCACGTTATTTTCACCCTTGCATCCTACTTATTTTTCATTTTTGGTAAAGTATTAATTATATATAAAGTATATAATTAAACTAATGTTTTTCGCCATATTGGATCCGTCATCTTCAATATCCCAATTTTGACGAAATTATTATAATCTCCGACCCCGGAAGCGGGGTATAGAATCGGATCATAATTATAAAATTCATTCGCCATATTGGATCCTCTCTGTCTTGAATTTCCCAATTTTGACAAAAACTCATGAACTTCGATCCCGAAAACCCTCAGATACCAATCTTGAATAGAATCAGATCATAATCAAAAATTTTATTATTATTATTATTATAAGTATGTAATATTAAATTGGATCCGTCATCTTGAAGTTTGACGAAACAATCATTATCTTCAACCCCGGAAAACCCCAGATACCTTTCAATTTGGAATAGAATCGGATCATAATGACAAAACTCGTTCGCCATATGATCTTCCTCAGCAAGTATAAATACCTATTATTAAAATGTTGAATGATTGTCTGTAACGCTCATGGATGTGACGTGACAGCAATGTCAGGGATGCCAGTAGACAAAATTAAAGTCTCTAGATCATTAAAAAAGAATGCAGCTATGCTGTCCGTACCCTGTTAAGATGACTTTAACGTCAACTCCCATCAAGGGACCCCATAAGGGACCTTAACTAGAACTAGCATAAAATGACTGAGATGGCAGCACTTGACTACTGCCTCGAGACGCCAAATTGAAAAACAAAATACAATTATCTGCGTACCTGCAGTGAAAGAAATACGAAGCCTACTCATTATCGTCGTCCAGGAGGAGACCTTGGAGCATGGTGAGAATATTA